GCAGCCATGGCTGTCGATAAAAGAATGCCGGCAAACTGTGGGAGAAGATTGATCCCACAGATTCTGGATGACCTCGCTGCTGCTGAGCCCGATCGCATCATTTACTCTTTCGCCAAGTCCTCGGACCTGTCGCAAGGGTTCCGCCACGTATCAGTTCGTGCTTTTACGAAAGCGGTCGACAAGACTGCCTGGCTACTTCAAAAGGAGCTGGGACGGACGTCAGAGATCCGTGCCGTGGGTTATATCGGGCCCCGTAAGTTTATTCTTGAAAGTGAAGTGTCCCGGGATCATGGAACGCTTGTCCCAACATTTTCGGCGGCTCTGAGCCTCTATCATCAAGACATTTGACTGACGAGATGATACCCATACATTAGATGATCTGCGACAGATCTTGTTGACATTCGCCTGTATTAAAGCTAATTGCGCTGTTCGTTTCTCCTCACATTCAATGGGTCTTCCAAGACTTAATAATGTTGGTCTGACTAATTCCCATTCCTACAGGGCTTGTTTCTATCTCCAAAGAACAGCACCGAGGGTGCTCTAGCCGTTCTTAAGGCGGCTAATTGCAACATCTGGGTCAACCCCGCTGGTGAGAAGCCAGCACAGCTCGTAAATGAGTTTTTACAGCAACGACCCATGCACGTCATGGAGCTTCCTGAGTTGAAAGAGCTTCTCCCCGAAGATGAGAGCGAGCTGGAAAACGTGGAGTTGTTTCCTTACAAAAAGCGCTGGGAAGATGCGATTAACGACACGTTCTGCATCCTCCATACATCGGGCTCAACCGGCCTGTCGAAGCCCATCTCATGGACACATGGTCTGATTGGCACTGTGGACGCTGTCCGCCTTCTTCCTCCCCATGAGGGCATGGAGCCCTGGGCGAAAGGATGGGATGATGGCGATACACTATATTCGACATTCCCTTTGAGCCATGTAAGAAACTCATCCCAGTCCAATCATGACTTAATGAAGGATTTGTGAAGTACTAACTATGTATTCTAGGGGGCGGGGATTTTGATGGACGTAGTCATATCGCCACTGTTCGGGCTACACTGTGTCCTCGGGCCTCGGGACGTGATACCCAATCTGGAACTCATATCGTCCATGGCGGACAACATCAAGATCGACATCTGGAGCATGATTCCTTCGCTCACGGACGAGCTTGGAGAAGCCCCCGACATCTTGCCAAAATTGAGCAGGTCTAAATTCATCTGCGCTTCAGGAGGTAAGGCATTTGTCCCCAACATAAATACCCCCCAGACGACAGGCGAAATTTTGTGTCTGAGAGACGACAATAAATCATCTTGCGCCAGTGATTTCCGTTTCCGCCAGTAAGCTAACAGATGTGATCAATTTCCAGGACCTGTGAGCAATCATTTAGGCTCCAAAGTGAACGAGCATGTTCGTGTCCTTAACCTGACCGGCACATCGGAAGGTTTGTTTATCGGCAACCTGTGGGTGGACAGACAGGATTGGCACTGGTTTGCCTTTCATCCTTGGTCCGGGTTTGACTTCAAGATGGTTGAGCCTGGCCTTTACGAACAGTGGATCCATCGCAACGAGCACGCCGAGTTCTTCCAGGGTCTCTTTCATACCTTTCAAGACGTAAACAGTTTCAACTTTAAGGATCTGTACGTTCAGCACCCGACTAAACCAGGATTTTGGGCGTCACACGGCCGCAGCGATGACGTTGTTGTGCTTTCGAATGGATACAAGATCTCGCCCCTCGATACAGAGGCACTCGTCACATCACACCCGGCTGTTGACGGTTGTCTCATGGTAAGTCCAGTAGCCATACAGTCGCTTGGTAGCCCGCAAGCAGATGGCAAATGATTGATTCTGATCATATGCTAACTTAACTGACAGATTGGATCGGGCAAGCCACAAGCCGGCCTCCTTATTGAGCTGAAAGACCCAACCATCAAAAGGGACGGTGATGATGCTGAAGCGCTCTTCAACAGCATCTGGGCTGTAGTCGAAAGGGCTAACTCCCTGTCTCTGCACAAGAACCAGCTGCACCGAGACTTTATCGCCTTTTCTGAAGCAGGAAAGCCATTCATCCGTACTGACAAGCGCACTATCAAACGTCGGGCTACCATGGCGCTGTATGCTGACTACATCGAGCGCTTCTACCAGTCGCGTGGAGAGGATGACAGCGATGCCGAAGTTGCGGCGCTTGGGCTGCTGGCTATCGACACAACATCCTTAGACTCGACCACTCGCGCGGCTCGGCATATATTAGCTTCCATCGTGCCTGCGGTCAAAGACGCTCCAGCGGATGCTAATCTGTTTACTGTTGGGTTCGATTCGTTGCTTGTGTTCAAGGCTACCAAGGCGGTAGCGGCGATCACAGATTTGGGAGGAGTATTTCTACCAAGAAACTTCTACGCTGGACCAACGATTGAGAGCATCGCTGCAACTGTCGTGAGATTGGCTGCCGAGCGTAGAGCCACGACAACGAATGGTACTACTACCTCATCGTCGACCGAGCAGCAGAAACAAGATCCACAGGAAGCCAAGATAAGAGCCCTAATGAACCGACACAAGGCTCTTCTATCCTCAAAGCTTGGCCCGATGGACCTCTTCGGCGGGAACATGTATGAGGGCATCAATGTCTTCATCCCCCTCTGCCCAGGTGTCTCGTTTGAGCAAGCGTACAAAGTGCTACAGCGAGGTCTGGTTCGCGCTATGGAGATCGTGCCGGCTCTCGCGGGCAAGGTCATACCATGTTCTGAGCACGAGATTGGATACAAGAAGGGAGATGTTCGAATCAGTCTGCCTCCACTGCCCTCCACAGCCTTGGATATCACTCCATTCGAAGAGCCCAGACAATTGCGCTTCCGCGACCTCTCGTCCATCTTGCCATCCTATGCTGAGCAGCGTGCCACTGGGTTCTTGACCTCGGCTTACCCCGACGAGCTCTTGACTGATTGTCCCTCCTTTCCCGACCTACCTACGGATGTGCTTAATGTGCAGGCCAACTTCGTCGACGGTGGCTGCGTCTTGGCCTTCAATGTTCATCATCACGCGTTTGATGGTATCGGCATGTTGATAGCGCTGACGGTATGGGCAGAATGCTGCCGGTTCGTCCAAGGCGATCAGTCTGCGACTTCTGAGTGGCTGCACCCAGAGAGCCTCAATCGTGATATGCTGTCTATTCTGTACGAGGTTGAGGGTTTCGCGAAGCCGGCGTCTGAGGTTGACCCAAAGGTTTGGGGCTTTTTGCCATATGCTGATCCGGCGCTGAAGCGCAAGCATCAAGACAAAGGGGAAGACATAGACATGACAGAGGCAGCCGCAGTCAACGGACATACCACTGAGCCCAATGTGAAGAGGGCTCGCCTGTCTCGTCATCTACCTGAGCCGCCTGTCCTCCCCGTCTGTGAGCATTGGCCACCCGCGCCCCGCGCTGACGGCCGCACGTTGACGGCGTCGACCTTTGTCATCTCAGCCGAGAAGCTTGAGAGACTCCAGAAGAGCGTCGAGGCTGCCGAAGCCGCGGACCCGGAAAGTCAAAGCCTGAGCAAGGAATCGGGATCGCTATCTCTCGGCGATGTGCTGCAAGCCTTCTTCTGGCGTGCCGCCGTCCGGGCACGTCGCCCTGCTGAGGACTCCTCCACAGATGACATGTCTATCATCGAGATGCCAACTGACGTCCGACCTTACTTCAGTTCGCACCTCCCGCCAACATACATGGCCAACTGTGTCATCATGAATCGACAGCACATGTCCGTGTCAGAGCTCTGCTCTCCCGAGACATCCCTTTACAAAATTGCCCAAATCTGTCGTGAGGCGCGCACTCCTGTGGATCAGGAGCTTGTCCACGATGCTTTCAGTCTCCTTCATACGATTAAAGACAACAGTCCAGGAAACCATACGACAGCGTTCCTTGGCCAAGGAATCCAGGACGGCCCTCATTCGCTCTTCAACAACATGATGCTCTTCCAAGCGAGCGATATTGGACCCTTCGGCGGTGACATATTCGAAGCACCAGAGGCAGTGAGGGTCCAGATGGATTGGCTGAACAAGGCTTTCAGAAGTCTGTTCATTTTGCCGATGAGGAAAGACGGCGGTGTCGAGTTACTGCTGGGGACCTTGCCCGAGGAACTGGATGCGATGAAGAATGATCACGAGTTTGTGGAGTTTGCCGAGTTCCTGGGATAGGGAAAGCAAGGGAAACACGGGACGGAATGCGTAAATAGGATGGCCGGGTCCTTTACAGTCAATGTTATTCAATCTCAATGATATTCTACTATAGTAATATTCTATGTTATGTTAAACGATTCTATTCCATTTTGCTTGCACAAATATCAATTTCGGTGTTGATTACACTTTTTCCATTGGCAGCTAGATAATTCATTAACAAGAGGACTGTCTACCGTGCCCTTCAATCAGCCTTGTCTCGTAGCGATCTCATCGAAAGGAAGATCCGCAAGTCGTTTGTGCTACCAACATACAAGTGGACATTGAGGACGGAACACGCCCGTCGCAAAAATAGATGCAGAGACATTAGAGTGTCCGGGTACTCGCAGGACTTCGCAACCGAGAGAGCTGATTCCACGTCCGGTATAAGCGACATGTCCATACCCAGTTCGTCCCCAAAGGGAAATCCTCCTAGCGCACAAGTCACCCGAGTCGATTGCCTAACTGGGCAACGGTCCTGTAGTGAGCTGCAGGACCCGTCAGCGGGATTGTCATCCTTGCAGGCCTAGCCCCGAGCCCTCACAGCCCAAAAAGATTGGGGCAGTTTCCCGTCGGAGGTGGCTCATTTTAGATCAGACTCGGGATGACTAAAGGCCCATTCACAGTCACAAGAGTTAGGGCGTATTTAACATCTTTTCATACATCTCGTCGAGTGTCACAACTTACTATCATTGTTACATTGCCCAAGGGTCTTTCTCTCTTTGCCTTACTCATCAAAGGTGAGCAGTCACAAATCTCCCTCGAGGGAGAATTCTCATTCTCATGTCAAATTGCTAAAACTTTTCATGACAGTAGAGGCAATGGATGTCAGCAAACACGCCACCTCGCTATTTGCGGGACAGTCTCCTTTGGCAGGAGCTCTGCTTGTCGCTATCGTTGCATTAGTGCTTCTGATGTTAATCGTGCCGAAAGACAATATCCCTGTTATCAACAAATATCCCAACGACTGGTTCTTGAGCAAGGCTCATATGGCTTTCATCACTAATGCTGACGGTCTCATCAAACAAGGGTTTGCCAAGGTACGCGAAAACTCTCCCTCCATGGATTATGGAGGAAAGATGAACTGACAAAGGAACCAGTTTAATAAGCCATTTCGCATGATCACACTCTTGGGAGATAGAATTGTCCTCCCTGCAGACCATTTCGAATGGATGAGACGTCATGGTCCTCATCTCGATCACCAACCGCTGGTGTCTAAGGTACGTACACTTCCCTTCCGAGTTGTTCCCCTAGCCATTGACTAACTGTCTATATCTAGGACTTTTTCGCAGGTTACCCTGGCTTTGATGGAACAGCAGCCATATCGGACCCATCTAAACTTTTGGCCAATGTTATCAAGAAGAAGCTTGTTCAAAACCACCGTGAGCCCGACCATTTACCCTCGTCTTGGTGTAAGTATGCTGACTCGAGACTTCCTAGATGTTAGCAAGCTTCACAACATGGTGCGAAAAGACTTACTGGCAGCTTGGACCGAACAGAGTGATGGTACAGAATGGAAGGCAGTTGACTGGGCCAAGGATGGTGTCAGCTTTATCAGCCGAATGTCCGCGTCCGTCTTTGTGGGCGAGGAGCTGTCGCGCGACGAGACATGGCAGCAGGTCAGCACTAACTACGGTATGACTGTGTTCCTTGCAGCTCGCGCGTTGCGAGCCTGGCCACGATTTCTGAGACCTATTGTACAATGGTTCCTCCCCGCTTGCAAGAGCTGCAGAGCAGAAGTCCAGCGCGCTCGCGAAGTCTTGCAAAAGAACCTCGCTAAAAGGGCGGCGGAAGACAAAGAGCACGACGATTCTATTACCTGGTTCGGTGAGATCGCGGGAGGTAAGAGCTATGATCCTGTCGCCGCCCAGCTTGGAATGTCTATGGCTGCTGTTGTCACTACCTCGGAGCTTTTGAAGCAGACAATCATTGAGATATGCGCCCATGACCTGGCAACTCCACTACGAGAGGAGATAGAAGCCGTGGTTGCTGAGCATGGATGGTCTCCTGCTGCTCTGACCAATATGCGCTTGCTCGACAGTGTCATCAAGGAGACACAGAGGTTAAACTCTGCAGTTATAGGTAGGCGATATGACGCTCGCTCTAGCATTGTGATCACTCTGCTAACATATTATAGTCAATCTCGACCGTCAGGTCCTGTCGCCGGTCACTCTGCCCAATGGCCAGTACCTACCCAAAGGCACTGCTATATCAATCTACATGTCGCAGCTCCGCAACCCTGAGGTATATGACAACCCAGATACCTTCGATGCATACCGCTATGTGAAGCTTCGTGCGCAGGGCGGAAAGTGGATCTACGCCAGTTCGGCTACCTCGACGAGTGAGGATCATTTTGTGTTTGGTATTGGTAAACCTATTTGCCCAGGACGATTCTTTGCTATCGCCGAGATCAAGACAGCTATTGCTACCATCTTGCTAGACTATGATCTGCGCCTAGCTGAGGGATATACACCGAAGCTGATGCCATTTGGCTTTGAATTGTTCGCGGATCCTGGAGTCCAATTGGAGGTCAAGCGGAGATTATAGATTCTAGTACAAGTCACAGGGCAGTGAGGAAAAACATTGCTATTCTTGATTGTCTTGTATCTGTATAATGGATTAAATATGCCCATGTAGCTTCCTCGTGATACCTAGATTATCACCCACCAAGCATGCCCTCCTCTCTCCTAGCCAGCACTCGATATAGACTGCAGGAAAAGTTCAACGGCTTGTTTTTGGGGATAATTAATAATATGACACTTTGTAATTTATCATTTATGTCACTCACTGCTATTCTATCTTCAAAAAGATGGGAGTGGCTATGCAGCGCTATCGAATGCCTCATGGCAAGGAGCCCAAACCTGGCGGATAGAGCTGAAACAGTCACCATCTCTACCTCGGCATAGTACACCAGTCAAAAGACCCCTCTTCAACTATCTCGGTGAACTTTCCATTTTTGGACTCCCTTGCTGAGCCTTGTGCGACCCCGAGAGCTGCCTTAGCCTCCTCAGCCCCAAGGCCAAGCGGCTTCATGCAGAAGAAGAATAATAATGAGAGAGAAAACTACTATTAAAAGACTTGTGTAACATCTTGCAGGCATGCAATAGGTGTAAGCCCTCCCCCCATAAAGATCAGGATTTCTTGAGTGAACACGTCCTGCCATTTTGTGTTCCCCGAAGCTGCAGTCAGGAAGCCACAGCAGGGTGGCGACGTTTGTGCCCAAAGCTTCAGCGCATTGTCTCACACGATTTGTCGAGGACTCGGTTCGTGCTCGGATTGAATGGATATAATTTTCGTCAGAGGATGGCTCAGCCTTCAAAGTGCACGAGCCACGCATGATTTATATTGTATAGGCCTCTCCCTTTCGCCGGTTGATAAGAACTGCTTTTCAAGCTTAATTCTTCATCAATACTACCCTGTGACTCTCGAGCGAGGATGGACGAATCCACAGAATCTACCAATGCCAATGATCAAATGGCTACGTCGCAGCCACTACTGGAAGCCGAACCGCCTTCATCAGCATCTTCTCATGTTGCACCAACTGAGAAGCTTGATAAGACATCGGAGAAAGAAAGCAAAAACAGCAGTAAATTATTACTGTTCTTAGCTCAATGGGGACTTGAAATTACTTCATTATCTCTCAGCCTGATAGCCTTCGGGCTCATGATCTATCTTCTGTACCAGTCAGCTGAAGAGCCGATATCCAAATGGAACAAAACCTATATCTCCCTCAACACAGCTGTTTCCATCTTGGCTGGAACATCAAGAGCATGTCTTGCATTTGCAATTAGCATGTGTTTGTCACAGGGTAAATGGAACTGGTTGAGCGGAGCTGCGCAGCCACTGATAGACTTCGATCGTTTCGATGCTGCAAGCCGAGGAGCTTGGGGAAGCCTGCGTCTACTACAATCATGTGTACGCCGACCGTAAGTGATTTTCCCCATGCTATCGAAATTAATACTAAACGTTCCACTAGACACTGGGTATCAATCGGTGCTCTTACTGCTATTGCTCTACTGGCCTTTGAACCCTTCACTCAGGCTGTTTTAGCCATAGAGGATAAGGAAGTCACTTTGGACCATCTAGAGTACATTAAGGCAGCACAGTCGAGTAATGATTCTCTTGAGACACTTGGGAATGTTCCTACAATCGGCCGATCAACTCGTTTAGATGGCGCTTCGTGGGATGGAGCTTCTCCTGGAGTAAGTGCAGTTTCATTCCCAGGACCTGACAATAAGACCATGGAGTTCATGGCCAGACGCTTCTCAATCGATATCCAGGAGGACATGGGTATGAAAGCAGCCATATGGAATGGGTTTTCACCCTTCACCGCCCCGCAGAACCTGAGGCCAGCCTTCGCTTGTGCAACCGGGAACTGTACATGGCCCATTTTCCCCTCCATCGCCGTCTGTTCCAAGTGTCACGACATATCAAAATATGTCATCAAATCAACTGGACCAGTGAAATTCCCTTCAAATATCTACAATGCCGGAGCAAATGGCCAGGAATGGATGTTGGAGCCTGGGGAAAGTCTGCCTGAAGTGAGCAACCCTAGTCCACATGCTGACTTGAGAAACGGCCGGAATTTAACTTTCATCAAACATGAAATTCCACAGCTGGATCTTAGCATTTCTAACTATAATGGGAGTCCCCGCTGCCGAAGCTTGTTCGAACAATGTCCCGATACTTACCTATCAGCTCGTGTCACAACCAATCCAGGACAGACCCTGACATTTCGCAATCTCAGCACCCTTGTTATGGCTATACAATACCTGGCTTCAAACGAGACTTGGCTTAATAACAGAACCACCTGGGAAAACACTAGAGTTAGTGCCCGGGAATGTGCTTTATCACTCTGCGTGAACCAGTATCACGATGCACTATCCCAGGGAGTCTTGCAAGAAAGTATTGCCTATTCGTGGGCGGAGAGAGAGCCAGCGTCTTACACAAACGATGATGAGGATGTGAAAGCTTTCATGAGATACACGAATCATAGTCTAGACATGGGCATCCAATTAGCGCGACTATCTGATCTTCAGATCAAGATTCCGGACGGGGACTACAAGCGACAAGCCTCCAACCTACGGCAACAGTACTTCAACATTACACAGCCTACCATAATAGCACTTTACAATGTCTTGAGTGACGGCTTCGGCATAATTCGCAATTCCAATGCCATTGGGGATCTTTCTAGGCCATATATTGCCATATCATCCACAAAGCTCATATACCCAGCATTGGGAATGGGCCAACCAAATGCTGGTCTCATGTCTGGGCTTGGGAGATCCAGCGATATCCCATCAACAATAGATAATGTCGCACTCAGTCTGACGAAGTGGATACGAGATCGAGAGCTGGATACGAGTCCAATGCGAGGGAATGCCACACGTATGGTTATCATTACACATGTTCGATGGAATTACTTGTGGTTTCCTGGCGCAAGTCTGATAACAGGAATAGTGTTTGTGGCTCTGTGTATGTGGGAGACGCAAAAGCTAAAGAATCCAGCCCTAAAGGATAGTATATTGGCGGCTTTGGCATGTGCACCGTGTGAAGACTTGCGGTTGCGCCTGAAACAGGCTGCTATGAATGGTAAACTACAAGACATTGGGAGAAAGGTGAAGGTTCGCTGGGAGGAAGACGACAAATTTGCCCAGTTGAAGGAAAAGAGGGACGATCAGCCGAGCGTTTGACGAACGAATTAATAACGAGATGTAAAGATGAAGACAAAAGATAAATGATTACGCTATGATACTTAGTTGAAGTTGGATAGATCCTATCTATTTTGAGTCAGGGAGCTCCAGAATGACGCGTCTATACCTTCGGATCGGATATGACCCCTTGTTGTTGGTGACCTGAAGAATAACATGCCATTCCTTATCGACTGAACTGGGCTGCTCCTCTTCCCAACTAGTCAAGTTGGTCGAGATTCTGACCATTGGTCCCAACGCCACATTGCTAAAACCTGCTTCGTTCACAGCGAGTGTGCCATTCGTTCCTATCGGCGGCGCCAGTGCATCAACGGAGAAGAAATTGGCAGCAAGACTGGTCAACATTGGTGATGCGCACTCAGCATAAGAGTACCATTCATAGTCCAGCCCAGAAGAATCGTCTTGACTATCAGTATCGATGGTATTGCTGGCATCCAAGACAATAGCGTCCTTGAGGCCAACCTTGAATCGTAGGGGCTCACTACCCGTGGATCCGTTGACGTTGATGCTCGGCGGGTGAGCGCCCTCTTCAAAGCTATCAACTAGGGTCCACTGCATACGAGCAGCAAAGTCGTCTTGGTACGCATCACGCCAGCGCCAGATAGTAGCATAAGGACTGAACCAGCTTTCACCCTTGGTGTTAATCAAAGCATCCCCGGATGTGCCATATTCGTTAATGTCAGTGTCTTCCGTGACGCGAGTATATCGACCTCCCCAGCCTCCATATTCTGGTCTACCCGGAACGTTCAGACCATTCTGAATATTCCAAATAAAGCTGGGACTGTCTCCTTCCATTGTATAGATAATCTTAGGGTATTCCGCTCCGAGAGGACCCAGACGAATGTTTGGGGTAAGCCAGCCGTCCGCCACTTTTGTAGTGTTGGCTGCGCCATTGTCGGCAGTGGAGATACCGGTCCATGTTCCAAGACGATATTCGCGATAGCCGTGGACGTTGACGATGAAGAAGACATCTGGCCATCTGACTCGGATGTAAGCACCCGTATCATCCTGGTCCGAGATTGAGTAAACCCTCAGTCGAGATCGAAGGTCGGCAGCTTCTTTTTCGCTCTTTGTTTTCTCAATGTGCTGCAGCGCTTGAGCTAGAGTGTTGGCTCCGCCCCAAAGACTAACATGAAGTGGCTCTTTGGACTCTTGAAGACGCTTCACAAGGAGTTTGGCGCCGTCGCTGATGGCCTCCTTGAGGGCCACTCGTCCATATGACTGATAGGATTAGCTTGCAAGACTTCTTAAACTTCCAGGAAACTCACACGAGGCCCAGATGAAATCTGCTTCAGTAGCTCCTCAGGTTTTGGATATTGATTGTCGGGGTGAACATGCTGGTTTAGCTTATCAACAACCTTGGCATAGGTCTTGACAATCTTCTTGATTTCACTCGGATGGGTGTCATTTCGCAAGGACCAAGAAGTCACGGCGACAAGACCTCGGGTGTCGAATTCATTTGAGTACAGTAGGTAGCGGACCATTGACATTGAGTCATCAGGCTCATTGAGAATATCTGTAAGGATGAATGTTCTGACCCGAGACACCTTTGGAAGGATGCTTAAGTCAGTTGAGCCATTCTGCTGTGGCACGGCGAGGACAAAGCATGACTGCAGCAAGAGTACTAGAGACAGAAAACGGGTAAAGAACAGCGCCATACTGATGTCGTGCATAGAGTGCTTGGCCGACGGTAGACAACAGACGTCAGGCTAGGTCTGGTGTTTTTGTACTTCATGATCAACAGGTTTGTGACTTGGATAGGTATCGACCAACCGACATTTAGCCAAACTTTACCTTGTTGATAACGTCTAGTTATGGTTTGTGCGGTCAAGGAAGGAAATCGGAAGCGTCATATCAAGGAATCCCCGCAAACCCCAGGTATTGACCCATGAAGCTAATGCCTTCTTGGGTTGAAGGGCCGCTTTCTGGACTAGCATTCCCCGCACTCCGGAATACCAGTATTTCGGATCTGTTTGTGATTCGCTGGCGCTTGAGAGCTCAGAAGTCTTCCTGGTTAGTGAATTCGGCGGAGTGCTTATTCCTGCTTCTTTGGGCGACATCGGTGGACAACGACAAATAGCACGGTAACAACATTCGGCAGTCTGTCAAATGGGCTGCCTTGAAACAACAGAGCGTTATATCACTTGCACTCAGGTACTGGGCAGAGGAATTGTTCATATTGACTATGAGGAAAAGAAGCTTATCGTCCATAGCATAATGAAGCCTGACCTTCGGAGTTCCTGCATTAGACCGCAATTGCGAGAGAGGCAACAGTATAATTCGAGGCAGAACTGCAACAATGTTACATGCTTCAAAGCTTGTCTTCCCCCCAACCTGTGGGCTTGGGTTGATTCTTTTCGTGAAACGTGATACCCTGTCGATGATACACATCCTTTGGCCGCAATTCCGGATCAAGCATATCAACAAAAGTCTGGTTAATCGTGCCGATCCTAAAATTAAAGAAATCAACAGATGCGTTGCGAGGGAAATCGTCGAATTCCTTCCCGTCATTCTCCAAATGATGGATCTTATCATACTCTCGCTACCCAGAGCGTCAGTCTTGTCCACAGAATGTATAGCTTAGAGGAGTACACTCACGTCTCGGAATATGCTAAAAACAGGCACCATCTTGTACATGTTGCCGCGACCTCGCTGCCACCATGTACCAGCCCTTTTCCACCGCTTGCCCCATTTGAAGTCCGACGCCATCTTTTTACAGAATTGCTTATTCATGGTATTGAACAGCGCACCATTGGGTCTGTAGTCAGATGGTGCGCTGCGGAAAATCTTTCCATCTTGGATATAGTAGGTGGCCCTTGTTTTCAGGATACAAGCCACTTTTGGTGTCTGCCGTATGAAGAATTGAGTCACAACGCTGAACGGCTTTTTGGAGTCGATAGTGTTGGTTGGTCCAGGGCCATAGAACGGTTTCATTTTGTTCCCATTGGGGTTCCAGCGACAGCCAAACGCGAAGCACCTTGTTGAGCACTTGTCGTTGTCGCACTTATGATACCACGGGGGGAGACAGGGACTCCAGTGGTAATCCGTAGACTCTATGTTTCCCTCCCATAGCACAATGGTGTGACAGCATGCACCGGTGCGACCTGTGCCCAGCATAGGATCGTGCTTATCCGGAACCCATCCATCGTAATTGGCTCTTCCCTCGACGAACCTTTGCCCCTTGTCGCATGTAGCATCGCAGTACCCGGTTCCGTACCTGGCGCCGGCTTTGTCACCCTTTTTCTCGGATCTAGCACCATCCGGCCACATCCAACTGAGTGACACTCTGGCCTTGTAACCTGGGGGCACGTTTCGAACATCGATATCGAAAGTATACTCTGAATCGTGTCGGCGGACCAAAGGCTTATTCTCGTAACGTTCGTTTTCCTTCAAAGGCATTACCCGAATTAGATCCTTCGGAACATGAGGCGCGGTGGCACCGAGGTCCAATTTCAGGCTCGTGCCATCGGTCGATATGCCATGAGCTCGATAGTCAGCGCCCTCGATACAGCAGTCCACTGGGCAGGTGTCTTTATCCTTGTTTTTACAGTGTGTTCTGTGCAAGTCCTTGATGTCGAAGCGACCGGCGCAGCAATTTGTTTCACGTAGCGTGGAGTCCAGGACAATAGCACCAAAGTATTTCTTGCACGGCTCTTGAACACAGTTATACCAGGCGAAAGGTGGATGTACCTCCTCTATATTGCCACATGGCCATTGGGCATACGCTGAAGCGAACAGTGAGACGCCAAAGATGAGGGCGCCTTTCATGATGAAGGGCATTGCTAAGGAGTAGGACGAGAATACGTGAAGAGTCAGAGAAAAGGATGAAATACAAGAACGAGAAATGCCTCAAGACTGGTGTTATAAGATCTATGACTTATCTTACCGTGAGGGGAGTACTCGAAATGGCGAGTCAAAGGCAGTAAACTCTCAGCCACAAGCTTGACTTCAAAACACACCCAACGTTAGCTCACTTAGACATTCAACCAAATGCTAACCAGTCACTACAACATAAATTCTAAGCTGAGGAAAACCCAGACTACATAGGAAGTCTAACAAACAAGTGATCCGACCTCTTTCTATGAAATATTCTTGACTTTCTTTGACTTCTATTTTTTTGTAACAAGTACAGCAGCTTTGAGGGGTTACCTTGACCCGGCTGTCGTTTGATGCTTATATGGTTTACATCAACTTGCGTTGGAAACTTACGACAGAATAATTCCGATGCCTTGTCGCCGCCCCTTTCCACCAGCGCCATTACATATTAGAGTTATTGAGGGCTGCGCGATGAGCTTCATCACATGCACATTATTAAGTTCACAGGAAACCGTACCGTCAAAGTCTATGGGGATGACTGACGCGTATAAGGTTAAGTTTTAGGCTGCGAAAACAAATGATGAATGAGTACAGTGAAAGTCAATTAGGGCTCGCCTACAAATTGTCTCGTCATATTACGGACCCAAAACTTGCATTCTCCTACTTTTTCAACACACTTGAATATTTCTCTGTCAGCCACCAGAAGATCCCTCTCTCATCTTCTACAGCTCAATATGGATTTACTTTCGCGGCTACCGGCACCCATCCGAACACAGATCCTCGTCGACCTTGGGTCTCACCAGCCTGCATCGGGAGACTCATCAGAGCATCTCCCACTATGCTACAGCAGTATACCGTTCACCGCGATATCGTCGTGCGGGAGGTGCTCAAGGAAATCACCAGTCTCGACAAAACTGGAGGTCTACTCCAGGACGCTATGGCTCTCCTCTACCTCGCCGGCCTCGAGTCAAAACAGTATACAGGAGAAAACGGGCAATGGGGATTGCATTACCATTTGAGTGGTCAATTCAATACATTTGGATACGTTCCTTGGGATCAACAAAAAGCTAAGTTTCTTCGTCCATTATGAAAACCAAAACTTCCCCAACGCTCTCGAAAATTCCCGACACAGCTGAAGATCTATTGGCTCCTTTTTCAAATGATCATTCGAATCGAAGACTACAGAAGGAATGAAGACTACTCCGAACACACAAGACCATCATACCCTTTCAGGCATCCCTCCCTCCAACACGGCCGCTCCTGGTCCTCACAGAGTATGAGATGAGGGTGAAACTTGGAGAGCCACCAAGAGCTGAATGGCTCTCCAACGATCCCTGGTCGTTGCATCAGCTGCATCAGCTGCATCAGCTACAACATCGGCAACATCAGTTAGATCGTATTTGGGTGCCTTTTCCATCTCTTGAGTCGTGGGGAAAATGTCTTTTCTTAAGGGCATTCCTGAAATATGAGCTCTTTTCGACTATGGGTTTGCTATTTGGTTCCCGTCTATACCATGAATATTTCGCGATCAAACCATTCTGCCGCTTTCTGTCATCACAAGAGCGAGATGCTATTGTGCTGGTTCATTGGCATCACAAGATCCATTGGTGCAAGATAACCACCTCTACTTCTACTGATAACCGAAGATCTTGCACCTGCTTGCAAAAGTTGAGATCAGTTGTTCAGATTGCCTAGTATCCTTTGAAACCCCACTTCAAGAGAAGGTCTATTGGTCATTTTTGTCTTTGGTCCTTCAAGCTACACATGCTCTTACCTCTATTGAGTTTTGCCAGGACTATAACAGTGAAATTGAAGGTCAGTTTCGATAGATAACTGAATAGAATGAAAGAGTTAAATAGTAACACACTATTGAAATTGATATTTCTTTAATATATTGATGTTAACAGGGTCTCTTTTTTATTCACTTATACAGGTTTTATTGATTAAGTACTGGATTCTGGATCAAACCCATGTGGAGCTGAGCGGGACAGAGATCTTGGGGAGGGGGGGTGGCGGGCTAACAGCGCTTTTAAAGCCTCCAGGCACCCATAATTTGAATATCTACTCCGTACCCCCGCTGCAATCCGCCTCCGACCAAAGCAGTCCTTTTCACCGAAGCACACCGCATCCAGGTAACATAACTTCGCCTCTCATGAGCGATACGCCCTCCTCGCCACCGAAAGCTCCACGACGCAAACCCGTGCCTGGCAGAGGCTTTCCGAAGACTCGGCGCGGCTGCTTTAATTGTAAGCGGCGTCGTGTTAAGTGTTCTGAGCACCGGCCCGAGTGTCAAGGCTGTCGCCGCATGCGCTTACCATGCATTTATCCCGCAGCTGTCCTGCCTGATCCTCAGGCAGTCCCTTCAGCGCCCATAGTCAAAGTATGCCTCGATCATCTGCGGTTTTTCCATCATTTCCTCACCGAAGCATATCCACCGCATCCGTATGGCGCCTCAGCTGTATGGCAAGATGTGGCTGCGCTCTCACATAAAGTAAGTCTCTCCGTCGACCTGACTCCAGATGCCATGTCTAACTCGAGTCCACAGTATGAGTTCCTGGCCTCAAGCATACTAGCTCTTGCTGCCCAGCACCTTACTGTGTCCAATAAAGCCGACTACTGTGTGCAGGCTCTAAATCTCAGAATCTCAGCTATCAGAGGCTTAAATGATGCTCTATCGCAACCTTGTCATACCGCAGCCGATGCAGACGCTCGTTATGCTGCAATCATCGGCCTCACCTTCCAGTCTACCTATATGCCAGACGGTTTGATGGAATTTATAGCAATGATGCGTGGATGGATGCTCATCTCGACGACTCTCGTAACTGACCATGGGATATCCATGTTCCGTCAATTCACGCGCGATTCGTGGGTTGGAAGTATGGAGAAGTTCATGGAGGAGCAACACGGAACCACTGATGATATAATGATTGAAGACTTCCTCGCTTCTCTCAAAATACTCCAACCATTACTCCAAGGACAAGCTGAGCTTCAGTACTTCTCAAGACTGGAGAGATTAGCTCTACTGAGCAAAGCTTCGCCACGAGACGGTTTGTTTTTATTCTCTCTTCACCATTAATAATAAGACTAACAGTTATAGCACTCTTGGAAATGGTACTCTGCTACGCTCTGACAAACAAGATGACAGATGAAGACTATGTCAGCTTCACGGACCCTTCCAACTACGGGGCCCAGATCCTTCTTGCGCACTTCTTGATACTGAACCATATGCTAGAAGAATGCTTCCTCGGCAGTACGAGCAGACGGTTTTCTTTTTCGAAACAGATCACCCGGTCCTGGATCTTGAATATTGGGAGACGTTTGCCTGACGAGTTGCGGAGGTACATCATGTGGCCTTTGGGTCAGGCAAGAGACCTTACTGTCTAGACTCGGTTGAGATGTTCCAAGGGGTAAGAAGTTGGAAGGGCGATGTGGATTTGGGAACAACGACACAGCCTCCTGAAAGCTGTTTTGATGCAGGCTAAAATGGAAGTAGTAGCGCTCGGTCTAATCCGATGCCCCTCATTCTTGCTCCCATTTTTACAAAACGACGAAAGCGACGAACGAGCCAATCATGGAGCCTCAATTCAGATGGTCGGTGCGCTAGACGCTTGACTACAGTCCATAACCTATTGGATTTCACGTCTCATGTCATCTAAATCTAAACGCGTAACTAGTTTTCGTTTTCCTTCTTCAAAACGACGCATTGTTGTGCCATTATGCTGGTTCAGTGGCTTATTTGCGACACTGCTTACGACTCCTGGCGAGGCTTCCCAGTAACAGCGTTGAGCCAGTTGCTATAAATGCGCGAGAAGCTGCATGACCTCCTTTATTTTCTCTACTCTCTATAGCAATCAGCCAAATCTCGATTTAGGATTTATCCCTCGAACATCTATCATATACGTACAATGTCTACCATGATAACGACTCTCACTACACTCGCCGGTGCGTCTTCAACTACTTCATCAGCAACCCCCTCATGCACAACTGCAGTGTCCGACAAGTACGGCTATGTCCCCCCGGACTCTTGCAATGCCAATTATGGATTCTACCCCAATTGGGAGGATAACACAGCCTTTGCGGTTGCCTTTGGCTTGTCCACGGTGGCTCACCTGACCCAAGCAATTATCCTCAAACAGGTACTTCCGTCATATGCTATGGAGGAATAACAGACTGACATGGCTAGAAATTCTGCTGGGTCATCGTCATGGGGGCATCTTGGGAGTGCATCTGTTTCATCGCTCGCGCCCTAGGTGCCAGGGACCAACAGCAGGCGGCCTATGTCACCGTCTCGACTCTTCTATTTCTACTGGCGCCGATTTGTAAGAGCCCCATCTGCCACGTGCGATACTCAGCTAATACTCTCCTCAGGGATTAATGCATTCATATACATGATCGTCGCCCGTCTTGTCCATTTCGTCAGCCCGCAGCGGCGCATAGCCCGCATCTCAGCACAATGGCTTGCCAAAATCTTCGTCATGTTCGATGTTATGTGTTTCATCATCCAGGCTGCTGGCGGTGGCATGCTCGCTTCGGACAATGCAGATATATCTAAACTCGGACAGCATATATATATGGTTGGCATTGGCATCCAGCTTGGCTGCGTGGTCGTCTTTCTTGTTATCCACGGCCTCTTTTATCGCGAGCTTTCTCTGAATGTTCGTATAGGCAAGCAAGAGACTCGAAGCCGTTGGTTGAAGCCTCTCTGCTGGGTTGTCTATATAGTCCTTGTCCTCATCGTGGTAAGTATCCGATGTAACAGCTTTGCGTGCCATAGCTAATTCGGTTGACTAGGTTCGAGTTATCTTTCGCCTCGTCGAATTTGGTGGTGGTGCAAATAGTAACAATGTGGTCCTTCGACACGAGGAGTTCCAGCTCTACCTTGACGCATTGCCGATGCTCATCGCTTTGGTCTTGCTGAACGTGGTGCACCCTGGTCAGGTATTGAAAGGTCCTGGTGCCAACTTTCCATCCGCGAAGGTCAAGTGGTGGCATGGCCGATCAGTGGCATTTGAGACACTCGAGCTTTCGTCGACACACAGGAGTGGATAATTATCTAACAATTGAATCGAGACGACCCGAGCTTTCATGCCGACATTTTTAGGGTGCTTTACGGACAAGAGCCGCAACACAATTCTGCTGGTAGAATGCAGCTAAATAGAGGTTGCATAAGTAAATTCTAAAGACAGTATTGGGTCGAAGAAGGATGGGATAATGCCTTACCACGTTGCGGCGGAATGACTACCTTTTCAGTTCTACGCGAGCCATGTCAGGAGGTTAGAGGCTATTCAATCTTAATACTAGAATCAGAAAAACTTGATTTGACAAAAAATACTTATATAGTAGCAAAAACAGAACCCCCAATAACGCAAGCTAAAATCATACATGTTATGGCGCCCGCCCCGACCTTGTCCATCATTGTGATCTTCGCATATTTGGGTTTCGACACATCGACATCCATGTTTGTCTGGCCACCACCAGGATTGCCTTTTGACGTTCCTCCAGTCTTGGTTGTCACTGGCGCATTCGCTTTCGGGGCGAGGGTGTACATGATAGATTGCAGAGAACTCATCTGCGGTCCAACCCCGACGATCCCATCGAACCCGTTGGTCAACCATGTGAAGCCGCAAGCTGTGCCAGCCTTGCCTGCGAACCCTGTGGAGGGTGATCCTGTACATGAAGCAGCGGCCTTCTTTGCCGTCGATAGCAGCGTCGCTGTGATGTATTCAGAGGTATGGGGAGCTACCAGTGCGGTAGCTGCCATCCAACGGGCGAGGTATCCTTTGAAGGTCTGTTGGTCGAGGTTACAAAGCTTGTGTTCCTCGCAGAATTGCTCATAGATAACACCATTCTTCACAAACACGGTCTTTATGTCCTCCAGCAGACCGTCTACTCGGGTCTTCCACGAAGCTTTTCCGGTCATGTTGTACATGGCAGCTGCTCCATAAAGATAGACACCACTGTTGTAGGTCCATTGGTTAGTATCCATAGAGCTGGGGCATTTTCCTTCGAAATGGACACCATCTCGGACCTGATAATCACTGTTGATAAGTCCGATCTTGGTTTCCCAATCCCAAACCTTCTCAGCCCAGTCCCCGTAAGTGGTATTGCCGGTATAGCGAGCGAGCCGCGCAGCTATGTTGAAGAAGCAACCGTTCGAGATGGAATTTTTGTAATCGTATCCTGCGTTCCAGGTGAAAATTTGCCATCTCATTCCGCCGCCACAGTGTTGTGTATCCCAACGGCTAACATATTCGTTGAAAACAGCCTGAACTAGTGCTAGCCATTGCGGTTGGTCTGATGGCGGGTTAGGATATTTATGTTCAGCTGCCGACATCGCAGCCACTGCCCAAAATCCTTGGTCATCGTTGCCTTCCGTCATAGTCTGGTTGTCGGGCATATAGTCGTCATTTGTTCCGACCTGATGCAGCATAGCCTGTGTAGTAATCTTGTTGTAGCTCTCATCGCCAGTAAGCCACCAGTAGTCGATTAATGTACCGAACATGCCCCCTGCCGTCCACCCTGCTTCGAATCAGATGCTGAAGTCATCATCCATTCTTCTTCATCATCACTTACAATAATATGGATCTGGCAGGTTGCCTGGTGTATCACCGGTATTGTTACCAGTGTAGTATTTCACTAAGCCATACGCGACAGTACTAGCAGCTTGTTTGATAGATTCTGGACATGGTAAGTTACCCAGCAGCGAACAATCCAAGACCGGTTGACTTACTGTCGTCGTCCCATGACACATCAACACCTTGAACAGCCGCTGCCAACGCCCAAGTTACAGCCAATGACACTTTCATCTCGCCCAATGATCGACCAGCGGGGAATAAACTTTAATGCTAGCGCAGAGGGAGACTTGACTCCACGGCTTATCTCTCTCATCAACCGAGCAAGATCGAAAAGCCAAGTCTGCTATCAAGTCCAAAAAAGCTCATGAGTTTTATAAAACGTACACACAATAATTAGAGCGAGCAAGAAGTCTTGGTATGGGATTGAGACACTCTCCTGAATTAAATGACGAATCATGTGTCAAAAGGGGTTAACTGGCTAGCAAGGAGGCGCAGCCGTGCTTTTTAGTCAAGAAACGGGGCCGAAAAATTGCTTCAGGAAATTCAGGTCAAAGGAGGCGAAGCAATAAACACGAGGAAGCGAGAGCACAGATTACGCAATCCCTGCGCTATGGATTCGCTTAAGATGCCGGGGAAATAGGTAGCATGGATCAACTAAGTCTAGACTCGACCCTCATTTCCAGTTTATAAGCTTCCGTCTTTTCCATGGAGAAGAAAATCACGGGCGAGTCATTCACAAGCTTACGTCTCTTGAGACATTGTTTAAGAAGGTCGTGGGACTTATCAATCTCACCTAGGAGAGCATGCAGCAGATTGAATGCAGTGGTCAATGCATTACCTGAATGCCAGACAACAATCTAAGATTAAAGTTCGTTTAATTAATGTCTCATAATTAGCAGTTAATTTTAGATACGGTGCTGTTTTACCGTAAAAGATGAGACCTAGCTCATTATTGTCGTATAGAATCACTCGGAAATACGCGCGTCTAATTACGCGTGGCCCGCACCCGGAAAGTACCATTATCAGATGTTTCGAGATGTCCAATTGAGAAATAAGACATTGACATACCCTGTAGAAGACGATTTGCTGTTTTTATAAGTGCCCTGGCAGTTAAGAAAACTTGATGATTTGAGTAGCAAGTCATATGTCAATCCACCCGCTCCTTATCTCCCAATTTCGCCATAGCATGGGAGGATGAGAAGTATACACAGACTTCTGCTATCGGCATGTTAATTCCGTCTGAGCTTTCGCGCGTGTTACTTCAACCTCTTTGCCAACTCACACCGGCAGTACCCGCTGCGACCTTCACTCGGCTACAGCATCACTTCTCCAGAACCCTGGTCGAGGCAAAGGATCATTTGATTCCGTCAATCGAGATGCGCCAATTCAGTGCCCCAGAGATCTCGTCTTTATCCTTGTAGCCCATGTCAAAAGTGCAAGGCAACTAGAGTAAATAAGTCGTTGATACTGTTCCAAACGACTGCTATAAAACACGCTTTCACCCTGCATGCCTCGCGCCAAAGTTGCTTGATTATGATAGGTACGGAGTAGAGCAACGCCAGATTGTCGAATAAAATTGCCGATAGATCCGATGTCTACGTAATGATAGCCGGCTTAGCTCCGGATACTCGGTATTATGGCACTTTTGACAGTCGATCCCGAAAGTATATCTCATGCCAAAGGAATGCGCTTCCGTATCGTTTGTGACAATGATTTCGTGCCTGTATGGTTTAATATCTGTGATCCATGACCGGTGGAAGGTCACTGTTCTGCTTCTCGACGACCTTTTCTCCATTGCCAAATAGCTTT